TTTTTAAGGTAAAGTTTTGGTCTCATGCAGGCTGGAGTGCAATGGCACGATCTCGTCTCACTGCAACCTCTGCCTCCCGGGTTCAAGTGATTCTCCTTCAGCCTCCCAAGCAGTTGGGATTACAGACATGTGCCACCACACCCAGCTAATTTTGTATTTTTAGTAGAGTTGGGTTTCTCCATGTTGGTCAGGCTGGTCCCGAACTCCCAACCTCAGGTGATCTATCAGCCTCAGCCTCTCAAAGTGCTGGGATTTCAGGCGCAAGCCACCACACCTGGCCTATAAGCATATCTTTTATCATTCTTTACATTTCCAGCTCCGATGATTGTTTCTTATTGGAAATCATTAAAAATCTTAACAATTATGTTAATTTAAGTTATATCTTTTTTTTTCTCCCAATAAGATCTGTTTTAGCAGCCAAATCACCAAAAATTATATTTTATCTTTAGTTGTGGGTGTATAGCAGGTGTGTATATTTATGGGGCACATGAGGTGTTCTGATGCATGCATGCAGTGCATAACAATCACATCAGGGTAAATGGGCCATCTGTCACCTCAAGCATTTGTCCTTCATGTTACGGACAATCCAATTAAACTGACTTAGTTAATTCTAAATGTACAAGAAATTGTTGCCTGGCGCCATCCTGTTGTGTGTCAAACACTAGGCCCTAGTCGTCTGTCTGTGTTTGTACTCACTAATCCCCATTTCCCAAAAATTATTTTTTAAATGGTGGAAAAGAGCTGTGGCTCTGGACTGCCTAGACTAATCCTAAGTCCACCCCGTCCATGGTGGCCATGTGGCTGTGGGCATACTGCATGCTGTGTCGCGCTCACCTGGAAAGGGGGCTGCACCCGTGAGTATGAACCAGCCACTGAGCCCTGGTGGGACACGGCAAGGCCCCGTGTGCTCACAGCACAGCCTTGTGGTGGGCGTAGGGGCACTGCTTGGGTCCACGCAGTCGCTCGGCTCAGGCTGCACAGCGTCAGGGCTGTCCTGCTCCAGGTACATCCCCTGCAGCACTGTGCCATGCTGGCAGAGGTGCACAGCACCAGGCCTTGGTGTGCCCACACAGCTCCCAGGGCACAGCCATGCTGGTAGAGATGCAGGAAGCGGGTCCTCTCACCCACGAGTGTCAGCAGATGCCAGCTGCCCGGTGGCTTGTGTGCCCAGCCACACCTGTCCTGCTTTAGAGTCCCAGGGACCATTGTAGGAGTGGTGCTGTCTGCATGGTCTGGAGGGAAGGCTGCTGGGTGTGAGCCCCTCTGTGCTCTGAGCAGGATGGCCATGCAGCGGAGCACGCTGCCTAGTGCCCCTGCATGGCTGCAGCAGGTGGTCAGTGGCAGGTGGCCGGGGCCTCTTCTGGGTTCAGTGCCGTGGCTGTCCCAGCTGAGTGTCAGAGAGGCTTTGTCCGGGGAGGGGGCTGTGAGGGGGCCGTGTGCCTGGAAAGCCAAGTGCAGGTTCCCTGCCCCTGGGCTGGGTGGGCCGCATGTGCACATGCTGTGGCACCTTGAGGGGGGCCCTGAGGTGCTGTGTCTGCCGCAGACCCGTGCCTGTACATTCCACGCTTTGCGCACCTGCTGGAATTCGGGGAGAAGAACCATGAGGTGTCCATGACGGCCCTGAGGCTCCTGCAGAGAATGAAGCGGGACTGGATGCACACAGGCCGGCGCCCCTCGGGCCTCTGCGGAGCAGGTACAGTGGCCCCTGCCTGCCCATGGGATGATGGTCTGGGTTCTGGCATCACACCATCCTGACTCCTGAGTGCTGTTGGGCTAGGGCATGTATTTCCAAAGCACTGACAGCTGCCTCCAGCCTCCCGTGGCTGACACTGGCCTGGCCCACGGGGTCCTCGGCCCCCCAGGACCTCCTGGCTACCCTTTTGTCCTCTGCGTGTACTGGGATAAGGGACCTTGAGGGCCCTGACCTGATAAGGTTGTCTGCTTCTGAGGAGTGGCTGCATGGCCATCCCTGTCCGTGGTCTTGGGGGTTCCAGCTCCTGATGCGGATAGTGGTGTGGCCTCTCTTGAGACACCAGGTTGCTGCTTGCGAGGGTTCTATAGGACTGTCAGGCTGACCTCCGGCCCCAGCTGGGCGGTTGTTCTAGTTGGACCTCTGTGGCCCCCCAGGTTGCGGCTGTCACTCAAACTCTCACTTTGCCCTTGGTGCTAGTGCATGGATGTGGCCGTGACTGTGGCCTGGTCAACTACCCCAACCCTCGGCTGGGCCCTCACTCTCCTCCAGAGCCCCCACCCTTGTGCCCAATGTCCACTCCTCTCAGCAGGCCTGGTGCCAGCATCCCTGCACTCTGCTAACAGCAGAATTCCGCCTGAGGATCAGTTCCATCTGCACACTTGGTCTCCATGTTTGCACTGGAGGTTCTGGGCCTGCTGTGGCCTTGGTGAACCTGTGTCAGCTGCCAGTGGTGGCCTTGCCCTCTTCCGCCCAGCCTGGCTCTGCATCCTCAGACCCCCAGCTCCCATCACAACCTGTGTTTCCTGCACAAGTCCTCTTTGTTTGTTTGCTTTGAGAGATTACGCGAAGTTCTTAGAAAGCTTCATTTTAATTTTCCTTGTGTTTGAAAATGGAGTAGATGCAGCCGCCACCCACAGTAAGGTAGAGAGGGCCTTGTCCTGGAGTAGCCACGCCAGGCTAGGGTCTCACTGTGCTGGCACGCACACATCTTTCCAGGTTGTCGTCTCCCTGACCAGGGTCTGCATATTGTCCGGCCTCCGCGGAGGCGCTGCTTCCTTGGTTCCCAGGCGTGGTGTTTCACGAGGCCTGTCTCGTTGCTTTCTAGCACTCCTCGTTGCGGCCAGAATGCATGACTTCAGGAGGACCGTGAAAGAGGTCATCAGCGTGGTCAAAGTGTGTGAGTCCACACTGCGAAAGAGGTAGGGGCTCTCATTCAGGGCATGGGACCACACAGACGCTTCATCAGTCCGGCTCGGCTCTTACCGAAGCAGGCGGTGTCTCCTGGGACCTGCTGTCCCCAGCCTGGCCCCTGTCCCACCGGGCTTGGACATGCTGCCTCGCCTCCCTCCAGAGAGTTCCCTGCTAGTCCTTTTGGGGCTGGCCCTGTCCCGTAGAGGCATCCCCTCCTTCTGATCCCTGTGTTTCTAAGTTGCGTTGGAGGGTGATATGTCAAGTTGCTGTGAGTCACAATCAGGCCGAAGGCTGTCTTTGATGCCAGAAGCTGGTCCGTCTCCTTTTTGGTGCGGCCCATCCTGGACTTTGAGAGCCCAGGTGACCCGTGTGCGAGTGAAAAGCCGGAGTTCCGTAAGAGTCCCTGCGTCGATGTAAATGAGCAGCAGAGCAGGCCAGGCTGGTGTGGGCGGGGGCTTGCAGTCCTGCTTTGCTGTGGTGGTTGCTGGGTTCCTCAGCTCGCCTGCACAGCAGCCCTGTTTCATAGAGTTTGACAAGGTCAGTGTGACAGCAGAGTTGCTGTGACCTGTACCTGCCAAGATCTTTATCACAAATCTTAAACACGTGGCTTTGGTTTTTCAGCTGAGATCATGTCCTGTGGCAATTTCCAAAAGCACCTGGGAAGTATTTGACCTTAAATATCTGACCTTTGATTCTGTGAAAAGCCTTTGATTAAACATTTTGGAGATGGTGTAATGTGTAGAGGCGTTAGTAAGAATTGAGTCCCCTGGGTCACCGGCAGGAAGGGCCCCTTCCTGCCTGGCTGCCAGGCGTGGTGGTTCTGGCTCAGCCTCCTCTCTTCAAGCCTTCTGAGTCTTCCGCCTAGGATCGGGGGTCTCTCTGTGGAAGTGATGAGAGTGCCTGTGGGCTTTTCTCCCAGGACCAGAGGTCTGGCAGCATCGGGTGGGGATGGAGAAGCCACTAGAAAGGACCTGGGTGGCAAGGAGCAAGCCCTGAGTGCCAGGCCCCACAGAGGAACCATCTGGCAAGCGCAGTTTTTATTTTATTTTTGCTTGTTTTTGATTCTTTTTTTTTTTTCTTTGAGATGGAGTTTTGCTCTTGCTGTCTAGGCTGGAGTGAAATGGCACCATCTCGGCTCACTGCAACCTCTGCCTTCTGGGTTCAAGCGATTCTCCTGCCTCAGCCTCCCGAGTACCTGAGATTACAGGCTCCCACCACCACACCCGGCTAATTTCTGTATTTTTAATAGAGACGGAGTTTCACCATGTTGGCCAGGCTGATCTTGAACTTCTGACCTCAGGTGATCCTACCGTCTCGGCCTCCCAAAGTGCTGGTATTACAGGCATAAGCCACTGTGCCTGGCCTTTTATTTTATTTTTTATATATTTTTTGAGACAGGGTCTTGCTTGCTGCCCAGGCTGGAGGGCAGTGGCACCATCATAGCTCATTACAGCCTCAACTTCCTGGGCTCAAGCGATCCTCCCTGACCTCAGCCTTCCAAGTATCTGGGACTGCAGGTATGCACCACCATGCCTGGCTATTTTTTTTTTTTTTTTTTTTTTTTTTTTTTTTTTTTTGTTTTTTTTTTTTTTTTTTTTTTTTTTTGGTAGAGATGGAGTCTCACTATATTGCCTAGGCTGGTCTCAAAGTCCTGAACTCAAGCAATCTGTCCACCTTGGGCTCCCAAAGCTGGGGTCACAGGTGTGAGCTGCGCCCAGCTGGAAGCTCAGTTTTAAATAGCTGTTTTCAGGGTCCCCAGCTCCGTTTCACATGCCTGGCTCCATTTTAGGCTCACGGAATTTGAAGACACCCCCACCAGTCAGCTGACCATTGATGAGTTCATGAAAATTGACTTGGAGGAGGAGTGCGACCCCCCTTCGTACACAGCTGGCCAGAGGAAGCTGCGGATGAAGCAGGTAGCACTGGCCTTGCCGTCTGGCTGTGCTGGGCTTGTCAGGCCTTGCATCTTGGAGCTGGGTCAGGCCTAGCTTAGGAGGGAAGTTGTATCCCCCGACTAGGGTGGTAGTGGAGCTGGTGCCACCCCAAAGCCTCGTAGCTGCTCATCAGTGCTGTGAGCAGCCAGAGGAGTCTCCGGTACGTACCTTGCACAGACTCTGGGAAGTGCCGCCTCTCCCCGTGGGGGACACAGGCCCACAGCTCTGCCTCCACCACTGCGTACTCCTAAGTTCCAGTGGCCTGTGGGGCCCATGGGGCACCCGGGAGGCTGTGCTGTGTCCCAGGGCCTCCCTTCACTAAGCCTGTCACCCCATTCCCTTTCAGCTTGAACAAGTCCTGTCAAAAAAACTGGAGGAGGTTGAAGGTAACCAACCAATCTTCCCATACAATGCTTCTGTTTTGTTGGGAAAGTTGATTTTGTGCAGACTTTTTGCTTTTGACTTACGACTTCAGGTGAAATATCCAGTTACCAGGATGCAATTGAGATTGAACTGGAAAACAGCCGACCAAAGGCCAAGGGGGGCCTGGCCAGCCTGGCGAAAGACGGTGAGTCCAGCCCTGGCCTCAGAACTCAAGATCCATCCGCCTGCCCCTTGCTGGCACCTTTCCCACCAGCTGACCTTTGACCCTGTCCCTCCTGTCACCCTTCCTGGACCCTCTGATCTATGCGCACAGTCCTGGGGGATGAGGCTGCCTCCTGCATGGCACTCCTCCCTCCTCAGGTGCTCAGGCTCCACGCTGGGCTGTGGCCCACCACCTGTTTGTACAGGCTGTCCCCACCTCATCCCCTCTCCTCAGTAGCTCCTGTAAGGTATACATTGGTTTGATCCAGAAAGGTGGGACAACTCGAAGTAGTGGGCTAGGCTTATCGGCCACAGGTGGAATCAAAGATTTTGTGATTGGCAGTTGGTTGAAAGAGTTATCTAAAGACCTGGAGTCAACAGAAAGAAGTGTCTGGGTTAAGGCCAGGCGTTGTGGAGACCAAGGTGTTTGTTATGTAGATGAAGTCTTGTAGGTGGCCGCCCTAAGAGGCTATAGATGGAAAAGGTTTTCTTTTTGGAGTAAGAGTCTCTCTCCTGCTTAGACTGGAGTGTAGTGGCGCGATCTTGGCTCACTGCAGTCCCCGCCTCCTGAGTTCAAGTGATTTTCAAGCCTCAGCTTCCCAAGTAGCTGGGACTACAGGTACCCGCCGCCACATCCAGCTTATTTTTGTGTTTTTTCTTAGAGATGGGATTTCACCATGATGGTGGGGCTGGTTTTGAACTCCTGGCCTCAGATGATCTACTTGCCTTGATCTCCCGAAGTGTTGGGATTATAGGCATGAGCCACTGCCCTCAGACAGATGTTTCCTATTCAGACCTTTAAAATGTACTAGAGTCTCAGCAAATCTTTTCAGGATCAGAAAAAGACCTGGAAAGACAAGGGGATTCTCTATAAACTATAAGTTTCCACCACAAAAGATAGCTTTGCAGGGCCATTTTAAAATATGTCAAAGAAATATATTCTGGAGTAACATATTTTGATTTATTTGAGGGCCTGCCATCTGTCATATGCTGCTTTGCTAGAGTCAGGCTGGAGTTTGGTATCTGATTGCTATTGTTTGGTCGATCTTCAGAGCTCTGATTTGATGTTAATGCTGATCAGCAGTGCCTGGACTCCAACGGGAAGGGCTATAAGAGAGTGTATCGAGGCATCTCTGACCCTGCCCCACTTCCCATCGTGGTCTGAACTAGCTATTCAGGTTTGTTTGAAATCTCCTTGACCAAGAGAAGGGGTCCGTTCGGTTGTTTTTAGGGCTTAGAATTTTATTTTTGGTTTGTATTCTGTACTATGTTTTTTCACTTGGGGGTGGTAGGAGCCACGAAAGGAACTGAGAGCAGAGGCAGGAGGTGGGGAGGCTGTTGCAGGAACCCAGGGTGAAAGGCCTGGCCCAACCTGGTTGAACTCTAGAGGTACTTTCAGGGCAGAGCCAACAGTCCCGGGAATGTGCATGTCCGGGGAATGTGGCAGCTGCAGCCCCCAAGGCTCCTGGCACCTGCAGCCAGGACCCGCTTGCCCAGGGAGGGGCTTCTAAGAGGCTGCTCTGTCCAGAGGTCACCCGCTGATGTCTGCTCTCTGGGGATCGGGTGCTTTCCCCAAAGGAGCCATTCCTCACCATGGAGACCCCTCCAGGACTCAGTGCTAGCCAGGAACTTTGTATTGGAACACATTCAGAAGAAAGCAATCTAAGTCTTAGGGTGGGGTCAGGCATGGTGGTTCATGCCTGTAATTGTAGCACTTTGAGAGGCCAATACAGGTGGATTGCTTGAGTGGAGTTAGAGACCAGCTTGGTCAGCATAGTGAGACCTCATCTCTACAAAAAATAAAATTAGCTGGGCATAGGAGCACGTGCCCGTAGTCCCAGCTGCTCAGGAGGCTGAGGCAGGAGGATCACTTGAGCCCAGGAGTTTGACATGCAGTGAGCTGTGATTGAGACACTGTACTCAGGCCTGGGCAACAGAGCCAGATCCTGTCCCTGCTACATACATAAAAAAATCTAGAGTGGGATGTTTTAAGATGAGCCTTGCCAACCTAAAAGGAAGAAACTGAGGCAAAACTAATCTACGTAATTTATTTGGGTCAAGCTTGAGGATTGCAGCTGGTGAGGACATATCATATCGCCCTCCCCGAATATACACTCTGGTGAGCAGCAGCTGCACACCTGAGTATACACTCTGGTGAGCAGCAGCTGCACACCTGAGTATACACTCTGGTGAGCAGCAGCTGCACACCTGAGTATACACTCTGGTGAGCAGCAGCTGCACACCTGAGTATACACTCTGGTGAGCAGCAGTTCACATGGACTTTTTTGTTTTTTGGAGATGGAGTCTCACTCTGTCCCCAGGCTGGAGTGCAGTGGTGCCATCTTGGCTCACTGCAGCCTAGGCTCCCAGGGTTCAAGCAATTCTGCCTCAGCCTCCCAAGTAGCTGGAACTACATGCATGCCCACCAGGCCAGCTAATTTTATATTTTTTGTAGAAATGGGATTTTACCACGCTGCCCAGGTTGGTCTTGAGCTCCTGACCTCCCGTGATCTGCACACCTTGACCTCCCAAGTGCTGGGATTACAGGAGTGAGCCATTGTGCCCAGCCACAAATGGATTTTTAAAGGCAAAAAGGGACCGTGATTTGATGGAAACAAAGTTGTTTGTCAGGAATTGTCATTGGCTTATAGCAGTAGCATTCGTTAGTGATTGTTTCTCGTTTGAGGTCGTTTCTGATGTGCTCCTGAACACTCTTGTGCAAGTCCTTGTATGGACGTTGATTTCCTTTTCGGTAAATTGCTGGGGTGACATTGCTGGCTTATGTGGAAAACAAATGTTTGTCTTTTTTTGTTGTTTTTGAGACAGGGTCTTATTCTGTCACCCAGGCTGGTGTGCAGTGGATTGATGGTAGGTTACCGTAGCCTCAACTTCTGGGCTCAAGCAGTCCTCCCCTCTCAGCCTCCCAAGTAGCTGGGACTGCAGTCAGGCACTACCATGCCCAGCTAGTTTTTAAATTTTTCCGTAGAGACAGGATGTTGCTATGTTGCCCAGGCTGGTCTGGAACTCCCAGCTCAAGTGAGCCCCCACACCCTGCCTGTCTTCACCTGCCTGTCTTTGCTAATACCCCTCTGTTGTCTCCAGAGGGGTGGCGCCATTGCGTCAAAGTGCAGGGGTGTTGCGTTCCTCTGTCTGGTAGACATGGCCTGGCGTCTTGTCAGGGCTAGACATTCTGATGGTTGTGAAGTAGGAGCTCGTGGTGGTTTCATTTGCATTTCCTCAAGGACCGAAGAAGGTCTTTGTACGTGTTTGTTTACCACCCGTCTTTGCTGGAGTCTTGTTCAGGTCTTTTCCCACGTTTTAATTGGGTTGTGTTTTCTTGTGAAGTTTGGGAATTATTCATCTGTTCTGGATTTACGTCCTTTATCAGTTGTGAGATTTGCAGATTAGCCTGTCACTGTCTTTTCATTGTCTTACGATGGCTTTCAGAGGGCAGTTCTTAATTTTTTGGAAATCTATTTTATCGGTGTTTTATGGATTCTGCTTTTAGAGCCATTAGAAACCTTTCCCTTATCCAAGCCACAAACTTTTTCTTTTACGTTTTTGTCCGAAATGTCTGTACTTGTAGCTCCCCCCAGGTCTGCCATCTGCTTTGAACTGACTTCCGTGTGTAGCGCATGGCGTGGGCTGAGGCTTGTTCTTTTGCACACAGCTGCCAGGCACCGTGCACTGACAGCCGTTCTCCGGGTTACCTGGCAGTTTGGCAGCATTGTTTCTTGTTACAAAAGTGGGTGCCCTGGCCCTCTGCCTGGTTAACAGGTGGTGTGTGGATTGTGTATGCCTAGGCTCTGCTGAGGACACCGCGTCCAGCTTGTGTGGCGAGGAGGACACGGAGGATGAGGAGTTGGAGGCTGCAGCCAGCCACCTGAACAAGGACTTGTACCGGGAGCTTCTGGGTGCCACCCCCGGCAGCTCGGAAGCAGCAGGAAGCCCCCAGTGGAGCGGCAGACCCCCGGCCCTAGAGTCCCTGCTAGACCCCCTGCCCACGGCGGCCAGCCTGGGCATCTCAGACTCCATCCGCGAATGCATCTCCTCCCAGAACAGCGACCCCAGTGAGTTCTGATGTGGTGTAGGGGGTGCTGGGGACATTGGGAGAGCTTTCTGGCTTGTTCCTCTCATGGGGAGACCTGGGTGCTGCATCCTCTATTGGGAGGTGTGGTGTTCTCAAGGAGTGGGGTTAGGTGAAGACACCACCAGCCCCCCAATGGCCAGTGGGACCGTGTGAGCGTCAGTGGTCCTAGTGTGAAGAACTGGGTGTGTGCCGACGCCAGAATGCGGTGGGTTTCGTCACCCTCACTGCAACTGCCTGCAGGCCACAGGGGCCAAATGAGAATGGAGCCCACAGGTTATACCCAGGAGTCACACAGGGCCCCGGGGCATGGACCCATGGCTCCACCCCTCCTCTGCTTGTCCAACATGGTTAGGGGAGCGTCACTTGCTGAGCTTGGGCACAGCAATAATGAGGCAGCCCTGCCCCATAGGGCCCATGCCAAGCCACCATGCCCGTCCTGCCTCCCCTCACCCTGCCCATTTTTTGGGGAGCTCTAGGAGAAAGGTGGGTCCTGTCCCCCATCCCTGCCAGGACAGGTTTCCCTGGCTGAGAGTCTGGACCCTCCTGCAAGGCTTCACCCTCAAGCCCTGCCTCCCATTGGGCACCAGGCCCTGGCCTCTGTGACGCTTCACCATCAGGCCCTGCCTCCCATCTGGCACCAGGCGCTAGCCTCTGTGACACTTCACCATCAGGCCCTACCTCCCATCGGGCACCAGGCCCTGGCGTCTGTGACGCTTCACCCTCAGGCCCTCCTCCCTTCGGGCACCAGGCCCTGGCCTCTGTGTGAGGAGTCCTTGCAGGGTCACCAGGTGTGTGTTTATCGAGTGACCCCTGGGCCAGGGGTGGAGATGGTTGTGCACCTGGCCTGATGGCTGGGGCTGCTGTGCTGGTGGAACATGGGTGGGTCACACAGAGCAACAGGCAGAGGGGACGTGCACAGGCCCTGGGGCAGCCCGAGGCACAGTGACGCTGAGCAGAAAGGGCCATTCTGGCTGGAGCTGAGGAAGGGCCGTGGGGGCCTTGAGGACTGCCCGTGAGTGCTGAGAGAAGTCATCTTGGGTCTTGGCCATGGAGCAGCGTGGCAGGAGGGCACCCCAGACAGTCTGGCCCGGTACTGGAGTTGAGTTGGCAGCAAGGAGCAGGCGGCTATGGCAGGGGGCTGTGGTGAGGAGGGGCTGTCCCGGTTCCAGGCTGTGCAGATGCTGCCTGGACCGCGTGGGGCTAGACAGGGTGACAGGCAGGTTTTGGAGTCTCCTGAGCATGATCATGGAAGGCTCCCTCGGGCCTGGACTTTGGAATCATTTCCGTCATTTCTATCCGAAGACCTATGTGCTCAGTGATGGGGAGCTGGCTCCCCCCGCACAGACCCACATCTCTCTCCATGGCCTGGCCTTCCTTCCTGCCCAGCTTCTGTGCCCTCCCTTGGTCTTTGGGGCCAGAGAGCCTGCATCTCCCAATCTTAAAAAGTTGCTTTCTTACAGAAAGTACAGGAATGCTGGGGTTTTCCCTTGTGGCTTCAGTTTAGTAACCTGCTGTCTTCACTCAGTGTCCTGAGCTAAGCATTTAAAGAGACGTGGCCATGTGGGGAAACGGTGTGACCCACCGGTGCAGAGGAGGGGATGGGGTTCTAGAAGGCCCTTGGCCCAGACTCAGTCCTGAGCCAGCCCAGGTGGCAGCCATGCTCCCATAATCAGAGCTGGCCCCGAGTGATGCTAATGCTGACGCTGCGCTTCCCTCCAGAAGATGCTTCGGGAGATGGCGAGCTGGACCTCAGTGGCATTGACGACCTGGAGATTGACAGGGTAAGTGGCAGCACTCCTTCCCAGGAGGGGCATGGCTTGGGAGGGCACTGCAGCCCAGGGAGCCCCAAGTGGACGGGTGGGGTTGGCCACGTCCCCTGCCCAGTGCCCACCCTGCTGGGTGAAGTGGGTTAGTGGCCTTCTAGCCACTATTCCTGGGACGCACCCCCAGATCCTCTTACCCAGTGTGGGCTCCAGGGCAGGCTGTTGACAGGCCTCTGGCTCACACCTGGCCCTTCGGCCCTCTGACTCTATATGTGCTGTGTGCCCCCAGAACCTAGGGGTTCCAGCCATTGGTACTGGCTCTTTGCAGTTGATCTCAACAGATTTGCTCTCTGTCAGGCAGGAAATCTTCCCCGATTTCATTGCCACATGGTGCCTCAGGCCCCTTCAGCCTGGCCCCGCTGTTCCTGAGTGGCCAGCTCACACCCTCACTTCATCCGTTCATGGGGACCTGTGGCCTGCACTCTGGCTGGCCAGGGTCCTGGTGCCAGCGGGGCTTGCAAGCTGCCCTAGAGGGTCTCACAGAGATGGCCTGCATGGCTGAACTTGGGACAGGCAAAGGGCAATGGGTCCCCAGCTTACCCTGAGCGGTGAGGCCTCAGCCCGGGCTCTGCACCAAATAGAGGCGGCCCTGGTTCCCCTTCCTCTAATGGTGGAAAGACTTCCTGCTGGCCGGCGCGGCCTTAGCATGCCCCACTTCCTGTGCTCAGTACATCCTGAACGAGTCGGAAGCCCGCGTGAAGGCCGAGCTGTGGATGAGGGAGAATGCTGAGTACCTGCGGGAGCAGAGGGGTAAGCACCACCCGCCCGCCCTGACACAGGACACGAGGTCCCCAGGCCTGGGGCGTGGGCCCTTAGTGACGCTGGCCCCTTTTCTGAACTTTTAGAAAAAGAAGCAAGAATAGCCAAAGAGAAGGAGCTCGGCATCTACAAGGAGCACAAGGTGGGCGCCTGTGGCACTGGCCAGGCCTTCTCAGGGTGTCCAGGCTTATGGGGGGCAGATGTCTTTGGATGTCCCTTCCCTGTGTGACAGGAGGGGCCAGGTCCCAGGGCAGGCTATTGGAAGACATGCGATCTGGACCCCAGACCCACGCCCCTAACGACTGGGTTCTGCCCTGTGCTGGTCATAGGCGCTCAGTTGCCGGCTTCACCCTAGAGGGCATGTGCTCAGCCTTGGGGTGAGCTTCCAGACGCAGCGACGGGGCAGACCGTGCTGAGACTCGGAGCAGGTCACCGGGGTCCCTGGGCTTGAGCCCTGCCTCTGTAACCCAGGCTTGCTCCTCTGATGACCTGGGAAGGGCCGAATGTGGTGCCTCCCTGCCCTGTGGTCGTCGCGGTGACTTGGCCCAGCTGCTTGCTCCATGGTTTGAGTGTGACTTCGGCCTTGTGCAGTCAGCAGTGGTTGAGTGAGTGAGCGAAGGAGAAAACAGGGAGCCAGGCCCCTGCCTGCGAGACAGTGTCCTTTGGACCAAGCTGTAGATGGTGGGGAGGGCAGATATGGGGCCTGCCTAGTTGGGAGGACCCGGGGAGTTTGTGATCAGGGACTTAGGAGCTCAGGGTCTCCGCCCACCCAGCAGCACATCCCAGGCTGTGCTGGGCCACGTGGAGGGGGGGCAGCAGGGGTGGTGCTGGCTAATTGCTCTGAAGTGGTCTGTGGTTCCAGCTCCTAGAATGAGATCCAGGATCTTTGGGCAGCTGGGGCCTTTGACCTGGGCAGCAGTGATGGGATGGATTGTCTGTCTTCACTGGGTAATAGCTCTGCCATGGCCCACACATCATAGCGCAGCAGCACGTCGCCTCCTGTGTGTACATGGCCCAGCCGTGCTGTGTGGGACCCAGGTGTGGCAGGGCCCTGAGGGCTGCACCTGTGGCAGGTTTGCTGCTGTTGCCTTCTGGAGGCTCTGCCAGCACCCGTGCCAGCCCCAGTGCCAGCCCAGATGCACCACTCACCTGGGAGGGCACAGTTTGACATGGGCATGCCCAGAGAGTGCGAGGCTGGCCCACATGCTGGGAGGAGGAAGCAGAAGCAGCCCTTCTGAGGCCTTGAGCCAGGCCTCCCCTGCCTGCACTCCTGGCCTGACATGGAGCACCTGATGTTTGAGCACGGGGGTGGGGACTCACTGGAGTCATTCTTCTGTGTTTTCATCAAGCCCAAGAAGTCTTGCAAGCGACGGGAGCCAATTCAGGCTAGTACCGCCAGAGAAGCCATTGAGAAGATGCTGGAGCAGAAGAAGATCTCCAGCAAGATCAACTACAGCGTGCTGCGGGGCCTCAGCAGCGCCGGCGGGGGCAGCCCGCAAAGGGAGGATGCACGGCCCGAGCACAGCGGCAGCGCCAGGAAGCTGTCACGGAGGAGGACGCCGGCCAGCACAAGTGCAGCTGACCCTGTGACCAGTACGGGGAAAAGGTACCGTCTTGTCCTGAGTGGCTGGGTGTCAGGGCAGGAGCTGAAGGTAGGCAGAGAGCAGAGGCTTTGGGTCCTGGAGCTGCTGGGGGCCAGCTGGGGCCACAGAAGTGCCTGGAGTGGCATGTGCCACCTGCATGCTGGGGACTGGTGGGCCAGCCTTGGGCACATTGATGATCTCGTCTCTCCTTGGCTTGGCGGGCTGTGATCCAAGTGGTGGCGCCAGCTGTCAGAGGGGTCCTGCAGGCCAGGCTGTGTTTTGTCCCAAGGATGAGATGGGACATTCACAGTGGGGTTGGCCCCTTCTCCAGCCTGGGTTCCTGGAGGAGCCCTAGCCCCGCTGCCCTGTGCCTGCTCTGTGTGCCCTGGCTGCACTGCCATCTCTGTCGAGGTGGTGGGTGACAGTAGCCCACTGCTGAGGAGGGAGGATGTGGGTGGAGAACATGGGCTGAGGGATGGTCAAAGGTGGGGATATGCTGGCCTCAGCGTGCAGAGTCACAGGTCTCCGCAGCTCCATGCAGGGCCACCGTGGGGTGGCTTGGCCACAAGTGGCCCTGGGAGGAGCCTGCCCTCTGTGCTTGGCTTGCCACTGGGTGGCGGCTGCAGGCTCTCCTGACGAGGCCATGAGCGTCTGGGCTTACCGGCTGCGTCTTAGGTGCTCACCACACCTTGGCTGGTCCGTGTGTTTCCCTGGCAGTGGAGATGGGGTTGGCAGCTTAGCTCCTGGGTCCAGCCCCAGGGCTTGGCTCTGGGCCAAGAGTGTCTGCTGGTCCTGCTGCTTCTCCTTGGAATCTCTTGAGCTGTTTCCAGCTGCTTCCACGCATGGGGCGGTGCCAAACCTCTGCAGCCCATCAGGGCCTCCTGTTGTTTGTGGCAGTTTCTCCTTGGCCTTTTGAGCTTTGAGGCCAGCCACTCCATCCCCAGTGAGAGTCAGCTGTGTTGTGGCCCTGCCCTTGCCCCTGCCCCCGCCCCGGGGCGCCCAGGTGCTGCTCCGTGAGGGAGCCTGACCTTGCTGGCTGCTGCTTCTTAGCTGGCATCTCATCCCGTCAGGAGGGCCACGTGGGCTGTCTCCTCCACATCAGCCACACGGTGGCCCTCTGGGGGTGTGTTCCTAGCCCAGTTCCTGGCATGTGTAGGAGGTCAGTGGGGCAGAGGTGAAGTTGGGGCAGGCCTGGTGGCTCGGTTCCCCTGTACGCCAGCACTCAGGTTGGATCTGAGGCCTGAGTCTCAGTGTCCTCTGCCTGCCCAGCCAGCCTCTCTTAGCGCTGGGGTTGTCCTGTCCTGGTGTGGGTGATTCTGGTGCCTGGTTACAGGGTCATATTCCCGTCTGTCACACCTGACCAGCTGGCCCAGACAGTGTCTGGGTGTGCTTTTGTGTGTCTGTGTCTCTGCGTGCATACGTGCCTGTGTCTGTATGCATGCAATACATGTGTGTTTCTGTATGCATGCAGTGTGTGTGCCTGTGTCAGTATGCATGCTGTGTGTGTGTGTGTGTGCCTGTGCCTGTCTATACATGCAGTGTGTGTGTGTCTGTGTCTGTATGCATGCAGTGTGTGTGTGCCTGTCTGTAGGCGTGCAGTGTGTGTGTGCCTGTCTGTGTGCAGTGCATGTGTGCCTGTCTGTATGCATGCAGTGCATATGTGCCTGTGTATGCATGCACTGTGTGTGTGTGCCTGTGTCTGTATGCATGTAGTTTGTGTGCGCCTGTGTATGCATGTATGCATGTAGTTTGTGTGCGCCTGTGTATGCATGCACTGTGTGTGCCTGTGTCTATGCATGCAGTGCATGTGTGTCTGTGTCTGTATGTGTGCAGTGTGTGTGTGCCTGTCTGTATGCATGCAGTGCATGTGTGCCTGTCTGTATGCGTGCAGTGTGTGTGTGTGCCTGTTTGTATGCGTGCAGTGCACGTGTGCCTGTCTGCGTGCAGTGCACGTGTGCCTGTCTATATGCGTGCAGTGCGTGTGTGCCTGTCTGTATGCGTGCGGTGCGCGTGTACCTGTGCCTGTATGCGTGCGGTGCGCATGTGCCTGTGCCAGTATGCGTGCGGTGCGCGTGTGCCTGTGCCTGTATGCGTGCGGTGCGCTTGTGCCTGTGTCTGTGTCTGTATGCGTGCGGTGTGTGTGTGCCTGTGTTTATATGCGTGCAGTGTGTGTGCCTGTGTCTGTATGCGTGTAGTGTGTGTGTGTGTGCCTGTGTATGCGTGCAGCGTGTGTGTGTGTGTGCGTGCCTGAGCCTGTCTATACATACAGTGTGTGTATGTCTGTGTATGCATGCAGTGTGTGTGTGCCTGTGTCTGTATGCATGCAGTGTGTGTGCACCTGTCTGTATGCATGTAGTTTGTGTGCGCCTGTCTGTATGCATGCAGTGCGCATGCGCCTGTGTCTGTATGCATGTAGTGCATGTCTGTATTCATGTGTGTCTTTCTGTATGCATGCAGTGTGTGTGTGTGCCTGTGTCTGTATGCATGTAGTGTGTATGTGTGCCTGTCTGTATACATGCAATGCACTTGTGCCTGTATGCAGTGCATGTGTGCCTGTGTCTGTATGCATGCAGTGTGCGTGTGTGCCTGTCTGTATGCATGTAGGGTGTGCGTGTGCCTGTCTGTATGCATACAGTGCACGTGTGCCTGTGTCTGTATGCATGCAGTGCATGTGTGCCTGTCCGTATGCATGCAGTGTGTGCGTGTGTGCCTGCATCTGTATGCAGGCAGTGTTTGTGCGCATCTGTGTGTGCAGTGCATGTGTGCACAGTGCATTTGTGCATTGGTGCACTCAGTGCATGTGTGTGTGCATGTGTACCTATGTCGACATGCAGTGTGTGCATGTATCTGTGTGTCTGCACACAGTGCGTGTGCGTGTGTGTCTATGTAAGTTTTTGTGTGAAACGCAGGTGTGCATGCCTGTGTGTGTCTCTGTGCAGGCAGTGTGTGCACGTGTGTACATGCAATGCATGTGTGCCTGTAGGTCTGCAGTGTGTGCGTGTCTGTGCGTACACTTGCGTGCATTCATGTCTCTGTATACACAGTGCATGTTTGTTTCTCTGTGTGCATGGGGCATGTGTGTGTGTCTTAAGTCTTGAGTGTATGCAGTATGTGTGCGTGTCTGTGACTCTGTGCACACAGTGTGTGCGTCTGTGTATCTGTATGTGTGCAGTGTGTACACACACATCTGTGTGTTTGTGCACTGCTCTCTGTGTTAGAAACCCATCGATCTCCCACCCCAAGTGGTCGTGATCTGATTCCTGAATGTTTAGTATTCTGAGAAAGAAGCATGAAGATCTCAGGGCTGGGGATACCCCGACTCACTGCACCGTCACCCTCACCCGGGCCTGGGCAGCTCTGGCAGTTGCAGTTGGGCAGGGGAGAGAAGGGGGCTGCCTGGGGACAGAAGGGCAGGTCCCGGTTGCCTTTGCAGCCCGTGGGGCCAGCTTTTCACCCACACTCAGGTGAGGAAAAAGGGACTTGGACCTCTTGGAAAGCGGCTGAAGCTCTGACCTGGGGAGGGAGGTGGGGAGGAACCACCTAGGAGGGGCTCAGCTGAGGAGGTGTCACCTCAGCCCAGCGACCACAGTGGCTCTCAGCAGCAGCGGTGCTGCTTTGGGTGGCCCAGCAGTGACGGCCCCTCCTCGCTGCAGGCGGCCAGCCTGAGCTGTACCCCCATTCCCTTTGGCTGCGGGACAGGCAGAGGGGCCAGTGTGGGTCTTGGGCCTCAGCGCCCATCTCTGGAAGGGGGACAAAAGGGAACCCAGTAGATGAGCCACCCTCCTGCCTGCTTACGGGCTCCAGGGTCCCCCCAGGCTGGGCTGCAGCCAGGCTTCAGCTGAGCGGGGTCAGCACGTGCGGTGCAGCTGTGAGAGGCAGCAGCCTGAGCACAGTGGCGGGGGTGTGTGAATGATGGGGGGCAGTAACCCACATCCTCATGCCCCTGGCTGGGGACTCCCCTACAGGCCAAGGCTGTGGCCGAGGTGATGCCAGGTGGGAGCTTGTTCTCCAGGCGCTCTCAGACCCTCGAGTGTGGAAGGGAAGCCCCTGAGGCAGGCCCCCAGCCGGCCCCCAGGCCCCAGGAACCCTTTCAGTTTCAGCCCCCTGAACATCATGCACACTTTCTCTAGCCAGGCTTTGCAGGAGTAGAGAGTTCTGTGGCCCCCAGGGTGAGGCCTGGCACAGCTGCCTCCTGGTTCCAGAAAAGCTGGACTTGTCTGTCAGAATCTGGGGTCAGTGCTGCAGGACCGTATGGCTTCAATCTTGGCGTGTCCTCACTGCCAGGTGGGGGAGGGAGAGTGTGTCCCTACAGGAAGCCCACCCCCCGATAGCACTGCTCTCCCTGTGGCCCCATGTTCCTGCCCGCCAGCATCTGCTCCTCTCTGTCCAAGGCACCGTCTGCTGAAGCCAAAGAAACTGCCTTTTCTGGACAGTTGCAGTGAGCTGAGATTGTGATACTGCACTCCAGCCTGGCGACGGAGCGAGACACCATCTGAAAAATTAAAAAAAAAAAAAAGGTTCTCTCCTTGGGCTGGCAGAGTCTCAGGGCATCCTCAACAGGGCCTGCTGGCTTGACCTTCCAGAGCATGAGTCTCCTGGTGGCTTAGTCCCCTGCGCCAAGATCAGGCCTGCGACCCAATCGCTGAGCCTGCTGTGGTGGGAGAGACCATGGCGGGGTGACTCCTCAAGATCAGCCTGCTGAGAAGCTCTGCTACAGGGCCGGCCTCCATCCCCAGAGGCCCCAGCTCCACTGCACGGTGGGCCTGGGGTGGGGGCAGGGAGGGCGGAGCAGCCTGAGGATGCAGCACCACCAAGGGGGGGCACTCAGGCTCCCGCTGCCTGCAGACTGTGGGAAGGAGTGGAGCAGCTGAGGCTTCTGGGGAGCCTCATGAGGAGCCTGGGGCCTCAGCCCGGCCCACACCTGCTGTCAGCTTCACCCTGCACAGAGATCCATTGCTAGGTGCTCTGCGAATGTCCACCTGTCACGGGGACCATTCCCAGTGTCCCGAGGGTTCATCTGACAAATCACAGCCAGGCAGGGCCAGGCCTCAGGCCCCCTACCACGTTCCCACACAGCTGTGCCTGGAGGGAAGGGCTCTGCCCACTCTGCGTTCTCCCCACAGGCCCTGAGGCCTCTCATTGCCCACGCCACAGCCCTGTGTGGCCATGCCAGGAGTTGGGAGAGATGCCTGCGTTCTCTCCCGTGGGGTCCTGTCTCCCTGGGGGCTCCAGCAGTCTCCAAGAAGACTGGCATGTGGAAGGCACCTTTGGCCTTTGTATGTGGCAGGCTGGCGAGGGGCCTGTGCAGGGTATTGTCAGCAGAAGTAGGGAGCGCCCTGGGCCTGGTGGGGTTGGGGGAGCAGACTTGGGTCTTATAGTGCCCCCTTCATCCTCCCCCCTCCCTGGGTGAGGTGGGGCACCAGGGCGGCTCCTTGCGGGCTCATGCACTGTTGGAAGGAGGTAGGCCAGGGTGGTGTCTGCGGCATCTGTGTCTGCATCAAGTGTGCCCCCGCTGAGAATGAGTGGGTCGGTGCTGTGCTGCTGTGCAGTGAGTACTGATGAAGCACACAGAGGCTGACACAGACCCAGACTTCCAGAGGGAACAAGAGAAGGTCAGTTAATGCGGGAGAGTCAAGACGGACAAGAGTGAGCCAGTGGGATGGGCATGCCGGGAGCCGGGGCTGAGGCCAATGCGCTGCGCTTCCTTTTGCAGGTTGAGGCCTCTGGTGTCTACGCAGCCAGCAAAGAAGGCAGCCACCGGAGAGGTGCGTTGTCCCACGTAGCCAGAGGCAGGGGGACCTCAGGAGGCAGCCACCCGTTCCTTCCTGGGCCTAGATGCTCAGTCTGTGAGCCCAGGGACAGCACCTACCCCTGCTGCCCCACACTGGCCTGGCATGGACAGAGAATCGGGGCCTGAGGGAGGTGGGGACCGTTGTGTGCCTGCTGCTCAGCCCTTGGCCAAGGGTGGGCCTGGTGCCTGCAGGGAGCCTGTGTGTGGGAAGCAGGCGCTGCCAGGTCACAGGACCTGGCCCTCCAGGGCTCAGGGTTTTTTTTGCCTGGGCTATCACTTATTGTCAGAGCCTGGTGTAGCCCAGGAAACCAGGGAGCAGCAGGGAGGGTCCCAGTGTACCTGAAGGTGCCGGCCGGTGGCCGGGGCTGGGCAGTGGGGCGGGGCTGGAGCAGCAGCCTTTCTGGAGTGCTGTGTTCTGGGGTCCCGCCCCCGGATGCTAAGGCTGAGGACACTGGCCTGCAGTCGTCTGGAAAGGTGTCTCCCCAAGCACTGGCGTGGGGCTCCAGGGGTACAGGAGGAGGGGTTGACAGAGGCCTGAGGGTGGGGTCTTGATGCTGGCACAGCTCATGGTGCAGCCCCCAGGAGGCCGGAAGTGGCCAGTGGGCCTGGGAGCCCTGGCCAACCCTGGGACCCGCTCAAGTGGCAGGAGTGGCTGAGTGCCCTGGCCCGCCCTTGGGGTTATGAGGGGCCTGCTGAGCAGAAGTCCTCCCTCCAGGGGCCAGGGAGGGCAGCCCCGCTCTTCGTTTGTCAGAGTCCCGCTTCTTTCTAGGGTCTGCTCCCGAGCTCCCCCGCCCTCGGAGCTGAGCCTGCCAGGCCCCAGGCGGTCCTGGTGGAGAGCGGGCCTGTGTCATACCATGCCGATGAGGAGGCTGAGGAGGAGGAACCCGACGAGGAGGACGGGGAACTGTGCGTCAGCGCCCTGCAGATGATGGGCGGCAATGGTGCGTGTGGCCCGAAGGCAGGGAGGGTTCCAGGAAAGCCAAGGCATCGGCTGCTGCCCTTCAGCATTCCTGAACTTGGGCCTGTTAGCTTTAGATGGAATTTCTGTTTCTCTCTGGAAAGAAATTTGAGCTAAGACACTGTAAATTGGTCATGTAAGTTGTGAAGTTGGAACCAGCCAGGGTCAGAGAGGTTAGGGACGGTCAGGTACCTGCCATGAGGGCCGGCAGCCAGCAGCATGGGGTTCTTGGGTTGCACACATGGCCACGGACCTGCACGCCTAGGCAGGGAGGCCGAGGGGGCCCATGCTGTTCTCAGGTGCCCTCCATGAGGAGCGAGGCCCTGCTCTGGGTGCCAGTCCCGGGAGGCAGAGAGGAGCCCAAGATGGCACTGGCAGGGCACGGGGGCCAAGGTGGGTGGGGGCGGGGCTGGGATCCTGGCCCTTAAGAGACCCTTGGCTTCATGACTGCGCTCTTCTGCAGACTATGGCTGTGACGTCGACGAGGACGACGGCTACTGAAGCACAGCCTCCAGGCAGGCAGCGTCCTGGGGGGCCTCTCGGGTCTCCGCCTCAGGCCGACCTCCAGGGCCGCAGCAGGCAGCCTCTAGTGCCGAGACTCCTGGTGACAGGTGGCGCCTGCCCGGTGGCCCTCGTCCCACGTGGACCTCTCCATTGGGATTGTGTTTCTCTCCGGCAAGGGAAACCCGACCAAGTGTCTCCGTGCGTCTGTTCACCTGAGGGCCGGGTGTGCCCAGAGCTGGGTCCTCCTGCCTGCCCTCGACTCCAAGGATCCTCGAAGGCTGGCACTGTGGCGTTGCTACTGTAAGGAAACAGAGAGTCAGGGCAGCCCCACCGCTGGTCCAGGTGCGTGTGGAGGGCTGCGTGTGCTGACCCTGCAACTCAGGACCAGCTCTAGAGCCCCAAGCCCACCCTCCACACTGTCCCCTCCCGAGCAGCACTCTGCGCCAGCACCCTCTGCCAGAGAGGAAGCTGGAGCCCTGCTGTGTCTAGCATGGCAGTGGGAGCTGAAGGTTTAGCACTTGAGAGGCGGCATCTCTCCCCGGCCACGTTGTCTGAAGGTCCTTTGCCTCCAGCTGTGGCCCTGCATCAGATCCCTGCCTCCTCCGAGACAGACACCCCCACCCTGCCTCCTCCAGGCCCCCTCCCCTCCCTACGGCCTGCACCGCCCAGAGCACTATGGCGGACAGACAAGGGGGTCAGACCCTGCTCCAGGTCCACCTGAGTTGTGTGCCTGGGAGCCCCGTGGCTGCCAGCAGGTGAGCTGAGTGCTCCACAGCTGAGACCGGCGCCCCGGCCGCCCAGTGCATAGCTCTGCAGGTGGTGTGGGCACAGCCTGCATAGTGTCCTGGTGCTGGGGGTGCCCTGTGGACAGAGCCAGAGCTGCCCAGAAAGCAGTGTCGTTCCCTGTCAGAGCTGGATCAGGTCCCCCCCATCCAGGAGAAAGGGCAAGCGGAGGCCCGAGAGCCTCCCAGTGCCAGGCCTCCTCATGTAAAGGCCCCAGTACCACCCATAGGAGGTCTCAGCTCTGGCATGGCTGCCCTGAATGTGGCTGAGGAGGAGGCTTCACCCTGCGCCCCTAGGAGAGGGTGGCCTTGAGGCAGAGCTGTGCTGCACTGACCCCCAGGGGGCCTCAGGCTCCACATGGAATGGGCTGTATATCCTGCCTTCAGCAGGCCAGACCCCCCTGCCCCTGCCCAGAGCTCAGCAGTCAGCCTGGTTCCTGCCAGAGTGTGTTGAAGGCTCAGGGGAAGAATAGATTTAGTAAAGCAGAAAACTCTGTTATGACTTGACAGAAATCGTCTGAGGGCTGTCTGATTCCATGTTGCATTCTGTGTCTAGCCGTCTGGTCGGGTATAGCAGGCCACGTAGCACCAGGCTGGAGCCAGCGCTTTGCAGCCCAACCTGTGTCTCAGGTCAAGAGCTGGTGCTGTTGGCCACCCGGCTTGGCGTGGATATTACTCCTGAGGCCCAGAGGCTGCCTTGAGTGAGGGGTGCGGGGTCTGTAGGTCACCCTGACTGCCGCAGCTGTAAGTGGGTGTGTATCGGCCTGGGCTGGATGTGGGCTGGACATGGGTGTGCCACGGGGGACTGGGTGGACAAGTCCCTGCGTGGACCCCCAGCGTAGTGTGGCACTGGGTGGCGAGTGCTGTGAAGAAGGGGAAACTGCAGGACCAGCCCACAGGGGCGTCACTGAGGCTGTGGTGACAGGAAGCTGCACTGGGACAGGGTGGGTGGGCCTGGGGGACACAGCCACCACCCACAGGCCCTGAGGGAGGTGCAGGTGGGCCGTGGGGCCGCAGGGTTGGGGGGCTTGGAGAGGGTGCTGATAGAGGAGTCCTGAGGACCAGCTGGAGGGGCTCCCAGCCTGGCAGATGCTACTGGGCCAGGCCAGAGATGACAGCCAGGGGGCATGGAGTGGGGGTTTTGTTGGAAGAGGGTAGATTGGGGGTGGGTGAAACCTGCTACTGGATCCTATTTGGGGAGACCAGATATGCGGCTGAGGGGCACAGGCGAGGTGGGCAGTGCTCTGTGTGCAGGATCCAGCCCTTGGCCTGGGTGCTGGGGGGTGGTGTTTGCCAGGCTTGGGGCCCCAGGCACAGGAAGGCCACAGCTCCGCAGGAAGGAATGAACCCCCTTCCCAGGGAGAGCTGCTTTAGGGGCAGTTGGGTGTTAAGAGGGGGGTTTTTCAGGACAGACGGCCCTGGCTGAGCACCTCCACTTGGGAGGCTGGGAAAGAAAGGATTTCCAGGCTGCGTTTGCAAAAGTGGCTTGGCATACAGGTGGTTTAGGATATTGGCTGAAAGGCCTACCTGGGGCTGGGAGAGGGAGGGGTGGAGAGGTGGGTGGGAGGTGAGGGCCAGGGGGAGAGGCCTGGGAGGCAGTGGCTGTCCAAGCTTTGGGGATCGAAGGGGGAGGGGTTATCACACTGGGAAGTGCGAGTGGGGTGGGGCTCGGGCTGGGCACTGGAGGGGACGGCTCGGCTACGGGGCCGAGGGGCTAGGTGGTGACCAGTGTGCCAGAGTCAATCCCCACAGTGGCTGGAAGGGAGGTGGGACATCTCGGGGCTGGTGGGGAGAAGACTCCACAGAGGGTGAGGTGAGGAACGCATCATCTGGGTCCCGGAGCCGTGGGGACCAGTACCACACAGACAGTTGGGTGGCTGAGGGGCTGTGGCCCAGGAGTGGACAGCCACAGTACCCGGGCGCCTTTGGGTGCTGACCTGAGCCCTGTGTTCAGGCCTTCTCTGCTGTGACTTGAGAGCCCAGGCAGTGCATTCGGGTCTGTACCCCTCTGTCCTGTAGGTAGCTTGGGGACCACATCTCCCAGCCCAGAGGATGGCAGGCTGGGAGCGGTGCATGGCCAGCTATGAGCTTGCAGCTGCTCAGGGCCTGCCAGTCTGCCCAGCAACACCTGGGGCGGCTTCTCCATTGCTACGGCCAGACCACGCTGCAGCCTCAGGGAAGGGGGAGCCCGGCTCAGCTCAGCTTGCCAGCTGTCCCCCTGAACACTGCCTTCCAGGCTGGGCCTGCCAGGTGGGCACACCCCAGCCCTGAGTGGCCACTGCTGCCTCCTGCTGCCTGCTCAGAGGGGCTGTCCGAGGAGGCTCTTAGCAGCTGGTGTAGGGACCTGGTGTTCAGTGGCCGCCGCCACCACCCTGTGGATACCAGGTTACGGGCCAAACAGGACTAGAGAGTAGTCAATTGGGTGCCGTGACCCTGGGGCTCCAGGGCTTTGTCAGATCGTGTGTCCACCTTTGGGGGTGCCCGGGGGAAGTGGTGGTCTGCACAGCTCCATAGAGCGAAGGGGTGGGCTTGTGGGCTCAGGGTGGGGTCAGGCCCAAGGCTCGGCCCTGAGTGCCATCATTTTGGTCCAGCTGTTTGGTGCCTGGATGGCTCCTCCTGTGCAGCCCATGGAGCTGGGGTGGAAAGGGCCCCCGGGGGGGATCCCCTGCAGCCACAGAGTTGGAAAGTCGGGCATGAAGTCTGACCCTTCACCTCCTCGCCAACTCCCTTGGGAGGTCTGCCCAGTGACCTCACTCCCTGACCCAGAGAACAAGCTGGGTCACACCCCACAACTCCTGTGCCCCAAGTAGAGGGGCTGCCCATGCCTGCCCACGTGCCCGTGGCCTGACCGTGTTGGGGGGACAGGCTGGGCATCTGTGTCCCTGACCTTGGCTTCCTTGAGTCCCTGCAGGGGCACTGGTCATCTCTAGGCCTTGCTGAGCGGAGGTGCTTTGCAGGAGACTGAATGCCAGAATGGATCCCCTGTGCCCAACCCTGCTGACAGTGGGTGACCCAGCAGCTCTATCTTGTGCTGAGGAGTGGGGGAAGAGGTGAGCGAGTGTGACCAGCACCCCTCTGCAGCTGGCTGCCTCATGCTGGGTGGGCACCTCGAGTCTGACCTTGTGGCTTGGAGTGACGCTGGGGGCAGGTCCAGCCCAGCTGCTGCTCCCAGCATGGTGGATGAGCCAGACACTCCCCTCCCCACTGGCCTGAGCTGCCTGCCCAGGCTGAGTATTTGAGGCAGGTGAGCATCTTCCCAGAGCTGCCAAGAGCAGAGGCAGGGCCTCAAGGGTGGCAGGGGAGTCGGGACTGCAGAGGCAGTGGCCCCAGCCGTGGCAGCATGTCCACATGGAGGCTGGCTGATGTTTTACCTGGGGCCTGGCGCCTCCAGCTACTGGCCTGGGCAGCTTCTCTCCCTCTGGTGTCTTGGGGAGTGGTCCCACTGGCAGGCTCAGGGCTGCAGAGCTGGGCATTGCTGGGGTGGCAGGGGGATACCTGCAAGGCCTCTCTCCCCACCTCCAGCCTCCCACCACATCTGAGGTTCTGCAAGGGCAGAGGACAGCAGCTGGCCCTGCTGGGGAGGGGCACGGGGCCAAGGAACCTCAAGAACCCTGGGTGAGCAGAGCTGGGTCCTGGGGAGCCTCTGCTGACACTGGAGGGACCGGGCCCTGGAGGTTCTCCCGAGGCTGGGGGCTGTCCCAGATGTGGCAAGATCTGCTTCAGGCTGGGAGTGTGACTGGCAGCCCACCGTTGTGGTCTCTGCCAGGGATACCCCAACTTCCCCAGCCTTCCACAGTCCCCAGGACGCCTCATGTGCCCCTGCTGTGGCTATGCTGGGCGTGTACCAGCCAGGAGCTGGCGCTCCGTGGGGGTTGGGCACATTTACATGTGAGTGTGTGCCCCAGGCAGCCTTGCAGTGTCTTGGACTTCTGGCCTGGCATGGCATTTGGTATTGTGTACTGGGAACTTTGTGGGACCAAGGGCCAGAACCCAAGGCCGGCCAGGCCCCTCTGTTCAGCCCCCAGCTCAGCACACACCGCTCAGGGCGAGGGGGCAGGAAGCACCAGTGTCCAGCCCAATTTCAGGTGGGATATAGTGGGCGGGTTTGGCCCATTCAGGCAGCCACTGAGCTTTCCTGGGCAGCTTCCTGCCCTGCCCCAAGTCCAAGTCACCTTTGCCTGAATGCTGCAGGGCAGGGCAGGACCCGAGGGCCACGTGGCTGTTGGCTGCTGAGCTAGAGTCAGCCAGCCAGAGTGAGCACGGAGCCTGCAGCCATGGGGGCACATATGTCCAGGCACATGCCCATCCACAGAGCAATGCATAATGCTCTTACATGTGCCTGTGCACACATGATGTGCGCGTGCTCTTCCATGCACACCACACCCTCCCACAGGCTCGATACTCATGCATGGCACACACGTTTATGTGCACCCAGTACACACGTACACACGTGTGCACATTCATTGCATGCACGGCTGCCTGCACCCATCTCTCACCGCCATGTTCGCACGCTCGAGCGTGTATGCTCTCACCCACACCTGGATGCCCAGATGGTAAAGGCCTGGGGCCTCTGGACCAGCTCAGGATGTTGGGAAGATGGGTGGAGCACTTCCAACTGGCCACGATTCATGCCCACGTGGTAGTGGAGCCCTCAGACACTTGTGGGCCTGTGGATGACCTTTTTAATTGTACATCTTTTCATTGAGCTTGAGTCATGCTATGTTGCCCAGGCTGGCCTTCAATTCCTTGGCTCCAGCGATCCTCCCACCTTGGCCCCCAGAGTAGCTGGGACTGCCCCTACCGGGCTGGGGATTCTCTGGGAGTTTCCCCTCACAGGACACCCTGACAGGGCCTGGGAATCACCAGGCCTGCCCCTGCAACCACTCCCCACAGATGTGGCGGTGGGGGGGGAGGAATGGTCTCAGGGTTTGTGTCTGGGGACTCTGTCACCTGATGGTCACCCAGCCCGTACCAGTGCTGTGTGACCTGGCACCCGCTCCATCTCTTGGCCACAGAGTGGGGAGTGAGGTGAGGCAGCACCAGGGTGGGTGCACACTCCATTGTAAGCCCCCCGACTGCCTCGGGCCCCTGGAAGAAGGGACAGTAGAGGGGCCCAGGGCAGCCTGAGGCTCCATTCACCCCCAGGGGTCCTCTGCTGCCCACATCTGCTCCTCCACCAGGCAGGCCCCTGGTCAGCCCAGGCAGATTGGGTCAGGATGGGCCTGGGCTGAGCATTGCTGGTGCTGGGAGGGGCACCTGTGTGGTCTCTGCCCCACAACCTTGCTTCCCACTCCATGTCTGAGGCTCTGCAAGGGCAGATGCGGCAGCCCCTGAGGATGCCTCCACCACTTCCTGTGCCTCCTACCCCACCCCTTCTACTGCCTTCCACCCTCGCGCCTCCCTCCACCTCCCACCCTCCCACCCCTCCCTCCACCTCCTGCCTCCCACCCTCCCACCCCTCCCTCCACCTCCTGCCTCCCAGCCCCTTTTTCCACCGTCTGTATTCAGCATCC